ATATATTATAAATATATATTATATATATATATATATATATATATATTATTTATATATATATATATATATATATTATTTATATATATATATATATATATATTATTATATATATATATATATATATATATATATATATATATATATTATTTATTTTAAATAACATTCAGGCTGGTAAATGTTTTTTTAATACTATATATTATAAACAGAGCATTTACTTAAATACTTGTATCTAAACAGAGCATTTACTTAAATACTTGTATCTATAAAAAGAACGTTAAACATAAAAATGCCTTTAATATATATATATATATATATATATATATATATATATATATATAGAGAGAGAGAGAGAGAGAGAGAGGGAGATCTGTATCTTAATCTTCATATCTCAATATTGAATTTTATAAATATTAGCTGGCAACCATATATAAATACAACTTTGTATTTATCTGTATTAATATATATTCAAATCATTTATAGTAATATCATTTAAAATTTATATCTATTTATCTCTGTCTGTCTTTCTCTTTCTCTCTCTCTATATATATATATATATGCATAAATAAATATGTAAACATATCTTCTTATCTCAACCTTAAAATCTAGTCAAGTCAGTTGGCAATCATCTATCTATCTCTATGAAGATATGTATCGTATTGATATATATATATATATATATATATATATATATATATATATATATATATATATATATATATATATATATATATATATATACAGTATTAAATAAAATGGCCATAATGCCAATGCTTGATTCAAAAATCGTACGACTCATTAACAATCGCTATCAATTGACTTATAATATTTTTTGCCTTCCTTTTCTTACTTTAAAAGGTGCCCTTTGCAGTGCTGGGTTTGCTACATGCCTAACTTTTCCGAGAAAATTTCATAGAAAATATTCGTCCTTTGACAGGATTCGAACCTGCATCCTATATGGAACCGTCATTTAGACGGTAAGGCACGTCAGCGTAAATGACGGTTCCGTATAGGATGCAGGTTCGAATCCTGTCAAAGGGCGAATATTTTCTATGAAAATTTCTCGGACATTCAGGCCGGTAAATGTTATTTAATACTGTTTATTATAAACAGAGCATTTACTTAAATACTTGTATCTATAAAAAAGAACGTTAAACATAAAAATATCTTTAATATATATATATATTCTCATTAATTTGAAAAATATTCTAAGCAGCACGTGTATCAACGTTACGTTGATATTTAATTCTATATTCTCATTTCCTTCAAGGAAAAAGAAATTGGAATGAAAATTATGCACAAATTAATTCCCTTTATTCACCCTTCAATTCACCATGGAAGTTGAAACTGTCTCTACTTTGAGGAATATACAGGTTGAACTTAAGTTTGGTTTGTCTATTACTATTGTTTACTGGAATCCTCCGTTCAAATGTATATCCACCAACTGGAATTCTTTTGTCCCCAGATCTCGTAAGATTTTCCTGATTTCAAAGTTAGTTCCTCGCGCGTGGCTGATTTGTTCTTGTAGAGTCGATCGTGTTTTTCTCTGACATTGGTTATCCTGTGAATGTCATTAAACGCGTTTGTTGAGCGTAATAACTAACTCTTTAAAGAACCGGTATTGTTAGGTCCCAGCCTTTGCTCAGTTTTCCATGTTAGAGCCTCTTCCACAAAGGAGAATTTGAATTGCTTCTCACAACTATATCGTTACTTTCATGGTCTTGTCACATCGTCGAATCACATTCATTTTTTTTCCATGTTCCAAAGTTAAGGGGTGGGGAAGTGCCACTTGGACCGCATTTTCCCTAGAAACGCCGCCTTGTGAAACCGCCTCACGTTTGAAGCCCTTTTCCCCCAAACATTTGCGTCGTTCGTTACCCCTCCCTATACTACTAAAATTTATCTACTATCGATTCACACAAATTACATTCGCATCACACAAATTATACAACATTACAATTTCTACAGTAACCCTTCTAGTTGGTCTGGTGCTTCAGCCTCTGAAATTTAATAATAAAACCCGGAAAGAGAAGTGAGACAATTAAAATGTTATTAATTGGCCTGTTAATGTTAAATCATTATAAGAAGCATACGTGGAACGACTTTCGTTTGAATCATATATATATATATATATATATATATATATATATATATATATATATATATATATATATATATTTTTTTTTTTTTGGGGATGCATTAGTGATACATATATACATAAACAAATACACACACGGACACACACAGATATATATATGGCATCGTTATATTATTTATACATTATAAAAAGGTTGTTTCTCGCTTAGCGAGTTTTCAAAATGGATAGCTGTTTATTAAAAATGCGCATAAATTCCGCTGTTCTGTTAACTATTTTTCATAAGGAATTGTTCCTTTTGCTGATTAAACCTTCATATTTTTAATATTGGAGAATATTTTATTTGAACTGGAGCACTCTCATATTCACATAATCTTGTATTCTCAGCATCTTGTATTCTCAGCATTTTGTATTCTCATATTCTTTTATTCTCATATTTTTTTATTCTCATATTCTTTTATTCTCAGAATCTTGTATTCTCATATTCTCGCCGCATCTATATCTGCTTAATTTATTAACATAACGTAAGCAAAATGAAAGTTATCAGATATGTTGGATTAATATTTTAGATGTGTATGTTTCTATTTAAATTTATATTAATGCGCTTGTATTGTAAATAAAAGGACTGCTATAATTTAATTACAATACGCTATGAATATCAATATTTAAATTGTGCAACACTCAGTATTCAATCATCATCTGACAGTTTTATCGTGCATAAAACTCGTAATTGTGCTGTTGGTGAGGAAAAATGTACTAGCACTCACTTCTAGAAACAACTATAGCAGTTAATGACCTTGAGATTTATTTTTATGTTGCTTTCTTCCTTTTTTTTTTACAGACAGATTTTGTAGAATTTTATCGACGGTATCCTTGACTACTCGATCAATAAATGCTGAGCGTTTCCTTATAAGGAAACATCCAATATAACCATTGGTATTATGTTCCATTACACTTTATCAAATACTACCTTTACCATATTCGACTGTTGTTTCGTGTCAGAAGGTTTTTTTCTCGTCAGAGTCCATTTTACATATCTACAAATCTACCATTTGTCCGTTTATTGAGTATTGTTGCCACATCTGGTCTGGTGACCCAGATCTGAATCTAGAGGTTCTTGGCAAAAACCAAAGAAAAATCTGCAATGTGATAGGTCCTGAACTGGCATCTCGACAGCAGTTACTTTCTCACAGACATGATGTGGCTACCCTCTGTCTTTTTCTGCAAATACTTTCACGGCAACTGTTCTGTCGAGGTATTTTCCCCGATGCACTGAGTATATGAATTTATCGTTCGACTAGACCAGCGTCTAGGTCCCACCCTTTACCGTTGAAATTGTCAAATTTGACCAACACTTATAAACCAACGGCTTCTTTTCTCGCTATATATATATATATATATATATATATATATATATATATATATATATATGAATTAAGCCCGCTACGGTAGAAAAGTGTCCTGTATATTTGCGACTTCCCTAGATTGGAACTGGATATGAAAACCTCTCCAGGCAAATTTCGTCTGGTGTCCATCATTTTTATTTTCTGGTTGATGTTCCTGTCGCGTTTAATACCTGGCCGATTCTTCGTAAGGACGTTCTCCTCCCACCCTCATCAAGTTAATTCTGTTGTATATAAATACAATTGTGGCTGTAGAGTCAACCACATAGGGAGGAGTGTCCAGCGACTAGATGCGAGGAGAAAACAATACGTGTCCAGTAAGGTCAGGAACTACACTAGTTTCAAATGAACTAATACCAAAAACCTACGGATCCTCAATTTGTGAGCACATTTTAAGGAAGAGTATGTGTGTGGCGGAATTCAATGTTGACTGGTTTACTTTTCAATTGGCTCGATTTGTCTTTTTTTATCGTGTCTTTGCGTTGGTTCTACGTGAGTTTATTCTACGGGATATTTGACTGAAGTATCATTTTGGTTTTGCCATCGTCTTTGATTTTGTGTCTATTGATTGTCTTCGTCGTTTAAATTTCCGAATTTTGTTTCATTGTATGTCTGCGTGTGGTGACAATGGTGCACCAACACCAAGGCTCTAATCACCTAATGCTTCACTCTCTGAATTGGCATGAGCAAAGGATAGACACCTTCAAAAAGAGCTAAAGTCAAGAACAAATACGAAGCGTTCAATAACGGAAACAAGCTGCTACCGGTGCCCACCCTGATGGAAACGGTGAATACCCGGACAATGTCACTATTAACAACAGATCGAAGAACAAGCAAAGTCATAACAATTAATCGAGTTATTACAGAGGAGGCGATTAAAAACCTGCAAATTTCGGTCAAAAAGGAGGAGGCAGCTAAATCATTGACAGGCTGTATCCTGACAACATAAACTGTTAGATTACACACCGAATACTTAGGAACAAAAATATCAAAGGTGACACTTAACAGAATTCCTTTATACATATCAGAGCATCATCTGGTCTTTTTCTTATCGCAATTTCTGGAGATCTCAACCATTATAAGTAAGGCGGGAATCGCTACAGGAGATGTGGAAATAGCAATCACACTAAATAGAACACATCTCTTGGAAATACCAAACATTAAGGTGTGGAGGTAGAAGGATTTATGATATGGTAGAGGGGCGTCGACCACTCTGTTGGGCCTGTGGGGCCGCGGGTCATTTGTCCATGGCTTGCCCCGGTAAAAATACAAACACAATGCAAACACAACCCCACAAGAAAAGTGTAGGAAAGCCGACAACAGAACAGCACAGATAACAGAAGCAGGGGAGTGGATACATATAGTGCCCGAAAGTGACTGCCACTTAACCTAAACAGCAGCAACATATAAAGGAGAAAAAGCAGAAGTCCCAACTTGAGCAGTTGGATCAGCAGCGGCAGGGGGCCTTAAAAGCAGTAGATGTGCAAATGCCTCTACCTCGTTCCTCAAGAAGAAGAAGAAGAAGAAGAAGAAGAAGAAGAAGAAGAAGAAATAATGAAATGTATTCTGGTGGTAGTAGTATTAGTGCTATTAGTAGAAGAAGAAACAAAGAAATGAAACAAACAGCGGTAGTCGTAGTATTAGTGGTATTAGAAGAAGAAGAAGAAGAAAAAGAAGAAGAAAGAAAGAAATTAAACAGATAGTGGTAGTAGCAGTAATATTAGTGATATGAGAAGAAGAAAAAGAAGAAATGGAATAGATGGTGGTGATAGTTGTATTAGTGGTACTAAAAGCAAGAACTGAACAGATGGTGGTAGTAATAATAATAATAGAAGAAGAAGAAGAAGAAGTGCTGCTACTACTACTACTACTACTACTGACTGCCCCAAACGACAACTGAGCTAGCAGTGGTAGGGCCGAATAAAGAAAGAGGCAAATCCAAGGTTCAACCCGTCCCAGCTTCTCCAGTTAAAATACAAGAGGAAGTTACCCTAAGAAGCCTCTCTTGTTCCCCTTCAAAAACATCGCTCACCCCACTTCCACCCCCCTAAACCTCCTACTCCCAAGACCACTGCAGCCGACAACAATTTCAATCAACAGGGGTCCATCCCCAGTCAGATCACCAGATAAGGATGGACAGCTGGAATTAGATGATTACAGGCCCATAACTCTGCTAAACACAGAGTTAAAGATTATGGTCAAAATCCTGACGGGACGTTTGCACTCAGTTGCCGAGACTGTTCTGGAACCCGATCAGATTTGTGCTGTGAGTGACCAAACAATTCAGAGCAACCTGAATCTGATCCGCACGGTCCTAGAGGGCATAAAAGTCTACGAGCAAGCGGCATTGATCAATTTGGATCAGTTCAAGGCATTTGATAAGGTCGATCATCGGTACAGTACTTGTGCAAGTGAATTAGTCTCCTGTATCTCTCCCCCGGTGCCGTGGTACAGGTGAACAGAAAGCGGCCGCGCGCTTTCTCGCTGCCTCGGTCGGTTCGCTAAGGTTGCCTAATGTCGCCCCTAGTATATATATATATATATATATATATATATATATATATATATATATATATATATAGTGTAACCCGGATATAAGAGAAACCCGGATATAAGAGAGAGTTTCTCTGGTCCCAAATTAGAGCCTGTGTTAATGTATAAAAATAGACTAAACCCGGATATAAGAGAAACCCGGATATAAGACACTTCTTCTCCGGTCCCGACAACTCTCTTATATTCGGTTACATTACATATGTATATATATATATATATATATATATATATATATATATATATATATATATTGCTTTGTCACTGGAGACTCTCCTTCGCCGGCTGATGGACGGGAAGTGCAGTTAGGCTCTACGTGGAATCGCTGTCCCTGGTGGATCTCGAGCCAAGGTTTCCGCGTACGTCGATGACTCCATTTTCGTGTCGTATCACAGAGACTTTGAGGTGGAAGAGAAGACGCTTGAACGTTATGAAAATGTCACAGGGGCCAAGATTAACCGTAACAAGTCTTCCGATTTTCGTTTAAGTGCCTGGAAGGGAGGTGATCTTCCGAGGCCATATCTTTGGACGGACGGTCCTGTCCGCATTCTTAGAACGTGGTTTGGACCTGAACTCCAGCTGGAGAAAAATTGGTCAGAAGTACAGCCAAGCATCGGAGCGGCGGTCCACATTGGCTCCGAAGGAGGTTGTCTTTGAAGGGTATGGCTGAAGTGTGTGCAACTTACGTCTTTCTTCTTATCCTTTACCGCTTGTCTGTGGGTCTTCTTTGCAAGGACAGTAGGGGGGTGATCGAGCGCTTATTTTCACCCTCTTCAAGCAGAAGGTCCGTATAGAAGCCTTTGTCCAGTGTCTGCGTCATGGGGTGTTGGGATTGCCACACTTGGTGAGTCATCTACACGCCTCGAGTTTGGCTCTCCTACGCCGACAGAGACTTCGATTTTTGTGGGGAGTGTTAGTGTTACTCTCACTCTTCCCATTCATGCCATAGGTCTGGAAAATTGTCGACTTTCCTCAACGACTGTCGAGCGACCTTGAGGTTCTTTCCTTCATCCAGTGACCTTTCCCGGCTTCGAAAGTTTATGTATCGTGAATTAGTGGAGGGATCCTCTCTGTGAGCGGTTCGGCTTGTCGCTGCTCGAGTTGCGGTGTTTCTGGTCTTGGGCGCCAGCGGCGAATTAACTCATTAACCATGAGTTTTGGCTTACCTGGTGATTGATTTGGAATCTTGCTATCTCTCAGTATTTATCGATCCACCCACGAGGATTGAATATGGCACAAGGCCGGTTTAATGTGGGTATCTCCGAGCCCGTAGGCTCGACAAAAAATATAGCCTTTGAACCCGCCTAGACGGGTTCAGGCCCTGTCTACCTCCCCAGACGAAACCTTGCCCTTCGGCAAAGCTTCGTCCGGGTTCCTCTCTGCTAACGCAGAGAGTTCGACAGACATCGCAACCAGTCAAAGACTGTATCGAGACGGAAGTCAGCCAAGAACTTCTCGGACTCTGTCTGGAACGTGCTATCTCTCAATGACAGGCTCTTCAGATGGGGCTGGGCGAATTTCCCCGACTGTCACCGATGACCTTGGTTTAGAGGAAACGGCTTTGCAAGCCTTCTACCATTGTCCTCAGGTGCGCCCTTTCTGGGTTTATGTCGCCGAGTTGAAGGCTCGTATCACTCCCGATAAACTTGTGCTTATCGACCTTGCATACGTGTGCGATAATATGTCGCCCCCGTATCTGGGGTGAAACGAATGGTGTTTCTAAAGTTGCTAGCCGTGGCTCGCATGGTGATCTGGACAACGCGAATGGATGGAATATTGCGATATTAACGCTATTCTCATCAGGCTCTGATCATATCCTTTCAGCGTCAGCTGAAGGTTAGGATCAGAACTGATAGTAAGCGTTTGGTGTCGACAGATTTCATAGAAGGTTGGGTGAAATGCGCCAACTTGGTCTGTATGAAAAGGGCTATTCTTGAGTTCCTTTTCATACACCGGTGCGATTTCCTGTGATCGCAACCCGGTTAAGCTAGACACTGCTTGTTTTTCCTAGTTAATATGAACGAGGATTCCTCCCGGCTTGTTCCCAATTTCTTTTTTATTATGATCAATATCGAGATTCCAGATTTTTGATTTTTTTCCCATTTTTCACCTCGGCTGGGCCAAACTTTGATTTCTCATTCCATCATTTATTTTATTCTTCCAACTTCATTAGTGAGTGCTACTTGATTCTGTCGATTAGTACAATACAACAGGCTCTCATTATTTTGAAGGATGGACGGGCCCTACTAACATCTGTTTGGTTTTAGTTTGTTTTGTTTCAATCCTTGTTAGTCTACGGGGTTCATACTCCCCCTCATTCCATGATTCATGAAATTTTTATATATTTTTATGGACGTTCAAGAGAATTTTATACTATGAGGTGTTTTGAAGGTCCCCTGTGAATGTGTGGTGTTGTACTATATGTGGGTTTGCATAGTGAAGGATGTGCTCCTGTGGTAAATAGATAAATTGTATTGGATAAATGGGTCGTGATGTAATTAACTAGAACTAGGATAATTAGCAGAGATCAGCCTTTTCTCACTTCCCCTTTAGCTTTGTGCTATAATTACTGTATTTTCAGTACTAAATATTTTGAGTGGTTTACAGTTTTATCCCAGTCACACTTTTTATTTCATCTCAAAGAACTTGAGTCATTGTATATCAAGTCTTGCAAACCGACTCTCTGTAAACAGCGTGATTGTTTGATGGGGCTTGTTATCTTTAGTTTCTAGTAATTCCTCCCACCATTTTTTCTATTATTCTCCATTCTCTCATCAATCATTCGCTGATTTATTGTATTTTACTCTTTTTCTTCTGATTAAAAACATTGAAGAGCGGGAGCGAAAACGGCTAGTTTTCCTCTTTCATATTTTTTTTTTTGTTTGCTTCAATCAGTTTCTTTTAATTATGTCAAATAATATTCAGCTTAAAGTTTTTGCAGCAATACTGAAGTTCAGTTCTGTACCACTAAGGATGTTACATATATATATATATATATATATATATATATATATAAACATAATAGGAAATAACAGTGATATGCATATATATATATATATATATATATATATATATATATATGTAAATTAAAATGTCTTTAACCCCACCAACAAAATATTAAGATTGTCTATGCTAATAATAAGTAAATCAAATTCTTAGGAAGTTATTTCAAATATCGCTTGATAATGGAACGAATCTCACTATTGTAAATTTAATTTTTAAAATTAATCCAGATTTGGGTTTTTCCGTTTTGAAATATATTATTTTGTGTTGCCATGGATCATATTTTTATAAGAATATTATATATATATATATATATATATATATATATGCGTGTGTGTGTGTGTGTGTTGTGTGTGTGTGTGTGTGTGTGTGTGTGTGTGTGTGTGTGTGTGTGAAAAATATATAGAAAATAGGAAAGAACGCCTCGTTAGGTGAATAATCCAAAGTTGTTTAGTATTTTTGTTATTATTTTAAAAAAATAGTGCTCGATAAAAATACAGCATAAATATAATTATTTATTTAAAAATATGATTCCAACACGCTACATAAGAGTTCTCATGTTTCAAAACAGGAGCCGAAAACTTCAATATAATTATTCGAATTAAAATTGAAAAAGAAAATTATCAGGGAATTTCCATCTTCAAGGGAAATTTTTTTGAATAGCTTATTTCAACATTTACGCGTAAATATGTATATGTTCGACTTGGTGTATTGTTTAATAAGCTTGTCTCGCTAGATTAATTAAACCATATCATAGCCACACTGGTTAAACCCAACTTTATATCATGTGACACATCAAAAATCCCATTATAAACAATTAGACAAATTTCACCGTGGTGTAATGGTTAATTAATAGATTATTTCTCTAATGATAAATTTTCGCCTGAATAGTAAACTCGATAAAATTGTGCCATTTCTATACGTTAAACAAAGATTATTTTGCATCTAACCAACGCTTAAAGAATAAATAGAACATTTCAGTACATAATGTTGAGCAAATTCATCCAGACTGAATAGTTTGTTCGAACCTTCTTTCTGTCAACCATCTTGTTCCAATGACGCTTAAAATCGGCAACAGGTTCCGTAAACTTTGTAATAATTTCATGGATGCATTGATTGTAGCGTTTTCATATTTCAATGTAATACATTATAATAAATAATTTTAATACTATTGAAAAAGCCCTAAAAATTTAATGTTGTGGATGTTTGAATTGAATTCATGATATTTCACTTTAATTCACATAACACATAAACATATTATATAAATATTATATAAATATATACCTATGAAGAAAAAAAACATAAATGATTGTACAATGATGAAAATATCGTCAAAATTGTTCTAATTATTACGAATATTTCATCCCATTGATTTTTATATAGTAACATTATTTTTAATCCTTTTTTAG